AGGATTGCAGCGGGAAAGCAAAGGTGAGGTGTTTTCCTGTGTGTGTGTGTGTGTGTGTGTGTGTGTGTGTGTGTGTGAGAGAGAGAGAGAGAGAGAGAGAGAGAGAGAGAGAGGCTAGCACTGGGGCAGCAGGGCGCATCTGCGCTGCACGGTAGTGCGCACCTGGATGGGCTGGAGTGCGGGTCCCAGCGCGTAGCTCCCGGTCCTGGTGCCACTTGGGGGCGGTTTGGGTGGGAATGAGACCACGAGTGTCCCCGGCCTGAGTGCGGGACTGTGGACCGTGAGTGCTGGGACCGACGTGGCTGCACAGCGCATGCCGTGAGTGTGGCGTGCGCCCTTGTCCAGGCTCCGTCCCCCAGCCCAGCGTCCAGGTGGTGGGTGCGACGGGGACAACTTCCCTACCGGCCGCCTTTAAAAGGGTCGGAAGGGAGGAGGGCAAGCTAGCGGCGGGGGTGGGGGCACTGCCGGGGCTCCTGTGGGCGTGCACCGGAGATCCGAGCCTGTGAGGACAGCTGGCAGAGCAAAGAGGGGCTTCTCTCTGTGGCTCCTCTCCTGGCCTGGCCGACGTGTCCCTGATGGTCGTGGGCCCCTTCCCTGGCGCTCAGGCCGACAGGGCAGCCTTCTCTGCCGCCTCTTCGCAGACAGACCCTGGGGGCTCTAGCATGACCATCTTCGGTCTCCCCCCTCCCTCCCTCCTTGTCCCCCTGGAAACAGCAGGGGGTCCTTTAGGAAACCCGTGGGTCTGAGGGTCAGCGCGGGGAGGGGAGAGGAAGGGATGGCCAGGCGGATGATTTTCCGAGCGCCGGAACCAACCGGGCTGTCCCTAGACGCGCCTCTCCCTCAGCCCTTCGGCCAGCGCCGCCTGCTCTTCCTGGGCGCCCTAGCGGGGCAGGGCAGCACGCACTTGGCACTTGGTGATAGTCTCTCCTCCTGTGAGGCTCAGGCCCCAGCCGAACGGGGATCCACTGGGTTTAACAGGCCCGAGGGACAGGGGTGGGGCTGAATGAAGAAACGATATTGGTGAGAAAGGAAAAACTGAAGCACAGTAGAATTGGGGGTCACACACACACACACACACACACACACACACACACGCACGCTGGTCTCCATCCCACTGGCCAGTTCCTAGGCTGGTAACCACAGCCCCCCTGGGAAGGGGAGGAGAGGCCCGAGACCAATCTAACCTCCTCCCCAGCAGAGCCAGGACTCGTGTCAGAGGAAAGCAACAGCCAGCCATTTCCAGTGCCTCACGACTCAGGCTGGAGACATCCAAAAGCACAAAATCAAACTTCCTGTGCATTTCAGTGAAGCACAATGCCCGGCACGGCCTGCCTGGCCCTGGACTCCACCTTCAGTGACGCAGACGTCACTCGGAGGCCGCAGGCAGTGACTTTACTGTCGATGAAGTGAGAGTCACTGTGATTTAAACTCATGTCTTCTTTGAAGGAGCCCCCCCCCTCCGGGCTGGCTCCCCAGCTCACCATCTCTGCCACCTCTCCAAGCTCTGAACCCTGCCCATTGCTCTCTCTCACAGGCGGAGAAAGGCTACTTCTCAGCCTATTTCAGAAAAAACAAAAACAAAAAACTTCCCCCATACTGAGTGAGACTCCACCCAAAAAGGCAGCCAGGGCTGGAGAGCAGCACCCCCTCCCGCGCATGTCTGCACCATCAGCACCCCTGTCCCAAAGCACCAGGCAGTCTGCAACCCAGAGGTCTTCAGTGTGACCCAGACATCGGAGTGTGACCTGGCACGGGACACAGACGGGACCCTGGAAATGCTAGTGATTAATTACGCTCCAATGCCGGCCGCGTACACAGGTGTCTGGGCCTGTAGAATTAAAATACCTGACAAGTAGAAATGACAGTGGAGATAACCCACGTTTATCTAGGGATAGAAAAATGGGTTCTTCACCGCTTCTGTTTTTAATAGCTGCCAACTGATGCTTTTGACCCAATGAAGACACTAAATCCAAGGTGGTCCCCCCAAGTACTTTGCAGAACGGTCAGCCGCGAAGCCCAGATCACAGTGTATAGAGAGCTGTGTGGTAGCGAAATCAGCACAGAACAGAGAAGCAAGGGACCTGGATTGTACAGCGAGTCAGAGGCAGAAGTGGACAAGGGCCCCCAACTACTTGTGGCTGGCTAAGTCCCCTTTGACTCATCAGGAGTCTCTCCAAGCATAAACGAGTCAGCTTTTTCTTAAGTCTATATTTTTTTATTTCACCGAGGAAGGGAGAGGAGAGATAGAAACATCAATGATGAGACAGAATCACTGATCAGCTGCCTCCTGCACGTCCCACAACCCAGGCATGTGCCCTGACCGGGAATGGCTCAGTAACCTCCTGGTTCGTAGGTCGACGCTCAGCCACTGAGTCACGCCAGCAGGGCAAAGAAATCTTCAGTCTTCACTCAGGCAGGAAATTGCCCTGCTCAGTGGAAATGTGTCCACCAAGTGAACTATTCCCCTTAGTGCTAAACAATACCATCCTTTTACCACCTCCCCTCCCTCTTCAGATACTCAAGACCCACATCAAGCATTCCCCTTACGAAGGCCCCTTGGAAGCCCCCAGGAGCAGAAGGCATTCTTCAGTCCTCTGTTCCTGTCTCAATTCAGGTCTCACCCTGTATGAGTTGGCTTCTTTCCCCGTCTCCCCTCCTAAATTATCACCTCCTAGAGGCACCAGCCATGTCTTGTTCAATCCTGGTGTCCAGAATAAAGAAGCCCCCGGTGATGGTTTTTGAATGACTGCGGGTAGATCCTTTAATTATGTGATGAGCTATTGTTTTATACCTTAGGCCAAGCCAATGGTTACATTTTCTCAGCTTGGAGAGGGAAAAGAGGAGTAAAAGTGCAGAAGATGTGGGTATCCTGTGTTCAAATCCCAACCCCAACCGATTATGGGAGCAAGTCACTTAAACTCTCGAAGTCTCAGTTTCCTCATCTGTAGAATGGAACAAATAGCCCCACCTCCAAGGGTGGTTGGGAAGATCAAGAGGGTGTGAACGAGCTACATCAGTGTTTGGAACCTTCTCTTCAAGTCTGAGAATGAACCTGGCTCCTGTTTTTTGGCAAATTCTCTGGGGTAAGAGAAGACAAGCATTCTGGAACATTCCATGGAGGGACTTTAGGAAAGAGTTCTCCTAGGCATATGGAGCTCAAGTACAGGGTATTGGAGAAACAAAAATAAACTAAAGCATACATTTTTAAAATAAAAGCAAGCCAGATATTTAACACTTAAGACTATACATTGGTTCATGATGGAGGCAGATTTCAATACATTAGAGATAAATGAGATGGTAGAGGGAAAATGGGGGGAAAGATAACAGTTATAGAGCTCTGATTATAAGCCCAGCACAATGCTAGGCGTTTTCACATACATTTCATCATTTAACCTTCATGGCACCCCCATTTTAACAAATGAGAGTTCGAGCAGTTAAGTACAGGGCAGGGGTCACATGGGCTCCGTGGTGGAACCCTGCTTTGTTTCACCTCCAAAGTCTGGGATTTTTCCACACTGGGTTTTCAGAATGGAAAAACTCCAAATAAGTCGGCAGGTCCACGTAGATTTCCTCGTAGGAAAAGGCCAAGAACGCCAGTGTCTGACCTCTCTGCCTTCTCCCACTTTGGACTTTTCTTAGGGATCAAAGTACATTTTTTTGCAGCCACAGTCATCCCCCACATGTGCGTCACCAAAGATGACAAGATAAACTATGATGGCTTAACCCGAACTCTTCGTCACTATTGGAAAAACTCAAACATTCTGCACACCGATGAGACTGCGCTGGTAGCTCTACGTTGATGTGGAAAGATAATGCGCCGTTCAGCTGAAGGGTGTGTCTGCGAGGGTAACCCAGAACTTGGGAAGCTGGTGAGAGTTTATGTGGCCTCTGACTGATGAGCCAATCTTCCTTTTTCCCCTGCAGATGTCACAGTGGACCCTTTGCCTCCAGGACCCATTAAGGTGAGAACAAGATCTCTGGCTGGTTGGGACGAGCCGAAGACTGCAAGGCAGCCATGGATATGGCCTATGACCTACTCAACGGCAGCCAACCACTGCTTTCCTCTCAATTCGACCTCAACGGCTCAGTGGCGGCAGCCAACAGCTCGAACCAGACAGAGCCATACTATGACCTGACCAGCAATGCAGTCCTCACGTTCATCTATTTCGTGGTCTGCATCGTTGGCTTGTGTGGCAACACGCTGGTCATTTACGTCATCCTCCGCTATGCCAAGATGAAGACCATCACCAACATTTACATCCTCAACCTGGCCATCGCGGATGAGCTCTTCATGCTGGGTCTGCCCTTCCTGGCCATGCAGGTGGCTCTGGTCCACTGGCCCTTTGGCAAGGCCATCTGCCGGGTGGTCATGACTGTGGATGGCATCAATCAGTTCACCAGCATCTTCTGCTTGACGGTCATGAGCATCGACCGGTACCTGGCTGTCGTCCACCCCATCAAGTCGGCCAAGTGGAGGAGACCCCGGACGGCCAAGATGATCAATGTGGCCGTCTGGGGACTCTCTTTGCTGGTCATCTTGCCCATCATGATCTATGCGGGGCTTCGGAGCAACCAGTGGGGAAAGAGCAGCTGCACCATTAACTGGCCAGGTGAATCTGGGGCGTGGTACACAGGGTTCATTATCTACGCCTTCATCCTGGGGTTCCTGGTGCCCCTCACCATCATTTGTCTTTGCTACCTGTTCATCATCATCAAGGTGAAGTCCTCGGGAATCCGCGTGGGCTCCTCCAAGAGGAAAAAGTCGGAGAAGAAGGTCACCCGGATGGTGTCCATCGTGGTGGCCGTCTTCATTTTCTGCTGGCTCCCTTTCTACATATTCAATGTCTCCTCCGTCTCCGTGGCCATCAATCCCACGCCGGCCCTCAAAGGCATGTTTGACTTCGTTGTGATCCTCACCTATGCCAACAGCTGTGCCAATCCCATCCTGTACGCCTTCCTGTCTGACAACTTCAAGAAGAGCTTCCAGAACGTCCTCTGCTTGGTCAAGGTGAGCGGCACAGACGATGGGGAACGGAGTGACAGTAAGCAGGACAAATCCCGACTGAATGAGGCCACGGAGACCCAGAGAACCCTCCTCAATGGAGACCTCCAGACCAGTATCTGAACCGCCCGAAAAATAAATGTATGGCCAAGCTCTGCCCACTGGCGCTGGGCTCCCTCCCCCCACCCACTTCCTTCCTGCCGCCCATCACACCTGGCTTCTAGAATAGGGAATTGTTCAGCATGAGTCCAATTCAGAGAACAGTGCTTGAGTCAGCCTGTCTGAATGAATGATTTGCATTAAATTGATTGACTCCCTCTTAAAGGGAACATTTCAATGCAAACAGACAATTCAAAGTCTAGAAAAGATATGAGCAGGCCTTTGAAATGTGGAAGCTCAACAAAGATAGAAAACTGTATCTGTGTGTTTGTGTGTTTGAGACCCAAAATGTAATCTTGTGTTCTCACATTTATACCTGTATATTCCCATCTGGTTCCTGTACAATCTTGACCTGTATTTCCTGTGTTCATATACGCGAGTAGCAAATCCACACGTGTACAGTACAGATGGACACTTACTACAACCTGGAACCCGCAGCCATGGACTATCTATGAAGCCAATAAAGTTTAAGCGTCAGGGATCTCGCTGGCTTGGGTGGTGTGTTCACATGACCATATGTTTTTATTAAAAGTTACAAAGGAAGATATTTTTGTATTCTTGTTCTTAAATGGCTCCTTAAGCTTCCAGCCTCACAAAACTTACCCTGCCCGTGGGCAATTGCTTCATTCATTTCCTATGTATTAGATCCAAGTAAGAAGGGAAAGGGAGATGGTATCTGAGGACCCAAAACATAAATTCATATGTTTCTTCCTCTTAGATATAATCAAAGAATTATTCATTGACCCAAAAGGACTTCAATGATTATGGTCATCAGGCACTGAATTTATAGACAAGGCCTGCTTTGTTATAAGATTGCATTTTTTTCTTGTCAAATCGTTTACATTTTTCCTTTTTTAAAAAAATATGCTTTTATTGCTTTTTAGAGAGAGAGGAAGGAAAGGGATAGAGAGATAGAAACATGGATAAGAGAGGAACATCATCAATCCGCTGCCTCCTGCACGCCCTCTTCTGGTGATCAAGCTACAATCCAGGCATGTGCCCTGACAGGGAATCGAACCCGCGCCTCTTGGTTCCTGGGTCAATGCTCAACCACTGAGCCGCATTGGCTGGCGCTGATGTTTTTCTTAGGGAGCCAAGGAAAAGGAGGGGTGGGGATCACTAACATGAAAGGCAACAAATAGACTATAATTCTTATGGGGAAACGATTTTAGTCTCTCCACCATGAAAACAAACGAATAAGAATGAAACAAGACCACATCTTTATGAGAAACCAAGAAATTGTGGGGTTTGTTTGTTGCTGTTTTTATGCCGGATGTGGCTTCCTAATAAAAGAAAATAGAAATGCAATTCACCATCTCCTCCAAGGAGTTTTTTTAGGAACGCGATACGAAGCTGGGCACAGGAAATCTCAGTGCCGGCGAAAGGCTTGAAGACACTGTTTCCCAGACAGGAACCCAGGCGCCAGTCAACTAACAGGCAGCATTGCAGGTGCGAGGGCTGGAGGGAGCCCATCCTCACAGGTATGGCCATGCCCCCTCCTCACCCACCGCCCCCACAAAAAGCATCTGGCCTTCACTGTCACAGACTCAGCTAGTCCTCAAAGCACTGCATAGGCACTTCGCACTATCAGTGGCTTTTTTTGGGGGGTGGGGAGGGGAGGTTGAAATTGTCGCTGGGCTCATGTACCAGTGACAAGAAATGAAACAATGCCCACTTCATGGGCTGGTCCCAATTGCCAGGGTGTGAAGAAACATACAGTTGGGTGTTTGTCACGACTCCATCATCTCGGGGCTTCTATGAACCCCTCCCTCGTGGAGCCGCACGCCCAGATGGCACCCCAGGTAAAAAGGAGCCGTCCTCTCCCCGCCAGGGCTGCTTGGCTGTGAGGGTGACAGAGAACCCCTCTGTGGCCACAGCTGCTCACGGGCCGCCTCCGTTCCAGCTTCCACATTACTCACACCACCTCCTTCCCAGAAGTACTCGCTGTGGCCTGGAAAAACATGTTCACTAAGACTTATGAGAGATAAATCCGTGTAAAAATAAAAAGAGATCATTATGAGATGAGACTACAGGGGGAACTCGTTACATAAATTTCATGCAGTAAAATCCCACACCGTTGCTGAAGGAAAGCCAGCGACAAGTTCAGCTCAGGATCCCCAGTCCTAAGCCTGTTCCAGGGCGGGGGCGGGAAGGGCTGGGCTGCTTAAAGATCGAGTTGCCCTGTCCTTCGAGAAAAGCCTGTTGAGTGAGCATCAGGCCCACTTAGAAGAAATCTGCAATGGCTTCCCACCCTGGCCACTCCCGTTACTCGATGCCTGGGGCCTCCAGTGGCCTAAGCAGTGAGAAGGTCTCTTTGCAGTGACAGTCCCTGGACAGAGAAAGGGGGCGCACTATGGACCCCCAAGTAAGACTGGGTCAGCCCTGGAACAGAAGGAGACACAGGTGCCCCAGGTCCTGACAACAAAGAGATTACAAAGTGGCCAGTAGGGGGGGCCTGAGGGGAAACTGCCGTCTCAAAAGGGGAAGACCCGTGCTCAACTCCACAGGACTCCCTGCGACATCACCAGGTACCGCCTCGCCTCGGAGCAGCGGACCACTCCTGGGCCATGCCCCCTGCCTGGCAGGTGGTGGCCGGACCTGGGAGGGTTCCTGTCCCCAGGTGAGGCCATATGGTCAGTACTGAGTGAGCTGGCATTTTTTCTCATGGGTATGATTTTCTAACAAGAAACCCAAATGGTTCTCGTAGGACATAACACAGGCTTGGTTGCTTTTTTAACGTTAATCAGCATCCCATTCAGGAGAACGGGCCGGATGTCTAAATCTCTCAAGTTATCCTTCATCTGCACCGCAGCTGGTGCCCTCAAACACATGCACACAAGATGCAAGGCACACGTGTGAGGCAACAGAGCCCATGTTTGATTTCAGAGAAGGGAGAGGGAGAGGGAGAGAGAGAGAGAGAGAAACATCAATGATGAGAGAGCATCATTGATTGGCTGCCTCTTGCACTCCCCACACCGGGGATGGAGCCCGAAACCCGGGCATGTGCCCCGACCAGGAATGGAGCCGTGACCTCCTGGTTCATAGGTCGATGCTCAACCACTGAGCCTTGCTAGCTGGATTCGATCTATCTTTCATATCTACAGTTAACATTTGCAATTTAAAACAATGCCTTCTCTTTGTGAGAAGTCCACAGTGAAAAGGGACACTTGGTTTTCGTAAAGTCTGGATGGGAACCGACGGTGAAGGACACAGCCGGCCCGCAGAGGCCCAGGGTCCTGCGGGGGTGATCCAGAGCCAGGCCTCCCTCTCTCCCTCCGCCCCTCCCCCCTGCGGGTCCCTGCGCGGCTCGGGGAGAGGCTCCCAGCTGGAACAGGCCGCTCAGGAAGCCTGGCTCCCGGGGCTGCAGGAGGAAATCAGCCGCCAGCCACACAGAGAGGCGCCCCAGCAGCCGCCCAGCTCGCCTGCTCCTGGTGAACCAAGTGCTAGTGGACAAGTCACTCCCAGAGCCGTTCAGAAGCCTCTTCCCCGGGAAAAGGCTCCAGTGAGTGTCCAGGGGCCTGAGACCCGGCCCGGCTGGAAAGGTCAGATGCGCGTGTGCACAGGTGTCTTTTGGAACCCTGTTTAGAGACAGTTTAATGTGCACAGTGCATTTTTTGCTAAAGAACACTCACTCGTGATTTCATAGCCTCCTCATCACTTTCCGGCTGTCAGTCACCGATAAATAGCAGCGGGTTTTTACAAACAGTACATCAATCATTATCCAAGGAGACTGAAAACTCCCTTCTCTCTCCCATGGCATTTCACCCGCCCCCCACGCCCACCCCTGCCCCTTTCTGAAGGTGGTGGGGGTCATGGCATGGGCGCCTTCGGGCGCTCTGCCCCCCACCTCTGAAGGCTTGGCGGAGTCGTCTTTCTCCTCCCATGCCCCGTGGACACCAGGAAGCCTGGGACATCCAGTAAAAGCCGTCAGCAGCCCCAGCTGCAAAAACAGTGTCAATTACGTGACGTGATGGATGGCTTTAATATGTCAGGAATAGGTGTGCACATAACTCGATGTTCCTGTTATTCTCACGGTACTTGTTAACACGGCATTCCTGCATGTCCCGCGCTTAGGCAACAATCGCTAAAACTGCTTTTGCTTTCAAATAAGCTGCAACTGACTTTGAGTCTGTTTGCTTCTCTGTCAGCCATTGTACCTTTGCTGTTCTAATTGACTGTATATACTTGGAAGCAAAAAGCAAACATTTCTTTTCAGTGACTTTTTCCTTTTGCAAATGTCCTGTTTTATAAACCACCTTCACATGAAACCCTACACTCCATGGGAGGGACTCAGACTAAGGCCTGCTCCTTAGGCCCGCTACTCAAACTCACCTGTGAAAAGACCCCTCGTGTTCGGGAAAATGGGAGAGTCTGAGGTGACATAACCCACACTTTCCAGGTTTCCTAAAACACTGGCCTGGAAACTTAAGAATTTTACGATTTGTTTTAAAATCTAAGCCCCACGAAATGTCTTCTAGATGTCTTAGCAATCACTGGTTTGGTAGCAAAAATAATAATAATAAGCTTGCTCCTCTCTCGGGTCCTCATTTCCAAGATGACCAAGAAAAGAAGGAATAACGGTCGTGCCAAAAAATGCCGAGGCCATGTGCAGCCTATTCGTTGCACCAACTGCGCCGGGTGCGTGCCCAAGGACAAGGCCGTTAAGAAGTTTGTCATTCGAAACACAGTGGAGGCTGCAGCCATTCGGGACATCTCCGAAGCGAGTGTCTTCGACGCCTATGTGCTTCCCAAGCTGTATGTGAAGCTGCATTGCTGTGTGAGCTGTGCCATTCACAGAAAGGGAGTCAGGAATCGTTCTCGTGAAGCCCGGAAGGACCGAACCCCCCCACCCCGATTCAGACCTGCGGGTGCTGCCCCACGACCTCCACCAAAGCCCATGGAAGGAGCTGAGTCTTTAAAGAGTGAAGAAAAGTTCTCTGGGGGGGGGGGGAAATAAATGGAAATTGTATTTCAATAATAATAATAATAAGCTTAAGAACTGACAACCACTGGTGAGTTCCATTTTGTCCACAAACCGATTTTTTAAAATTTATCTCTTTATTAAAAATATTTTTGTATTGAGTTCAGAGAAGGGACAGGGAGAGAGAAATAGAAACATCAATGATGAGAGTCATTGATCGGCTGCCTCCTGCACACCCCTTACTGGGGACTGAGCCCGCACATGCCCTGACCTGGAATCAAACCGTGACCTTCTCGTTCATAGGTCAACACTCAACCATGAGCCCAACCGGCTAGGGTCGCAGCCTGATTTTTAACGGCCCTGTCTGATTTCTTCCCGCTTTTGTAACCTTGATCAAATAGCACAGCTAAGTCACTGTAAAGCAAACGACGAAACAGGTGCTCTGAAAATGCCACAGAGACCTGCCAGGTCTGGCTGACAGCAAAACCGGTCAGAGAAAAATGTCAAGAGTTTTGAAATTAGGTCAAAGAAAACAGCTATTTTTTAAAATCATCTTCTCATTTTCCTTTCACTCAAAATCAAAACATAACAGAAATGTCCAACTGCTTAAAATGGAGTCTTAACCACAAACTCGACTGCTAAAATCCAAAAAGAGAATTAATTCGCACACTGTTTGAGTGCTCAGGGTGTCCCAAGCTGCTGGAAGCACTTTATACATGCATCCTCTCATTCCAATTCCCACAGGACCTCTATGAAGGAAGTACCGTTGTGATTCCCATTCTACAGATGAGTAAACTGAGGCTGATGGATCATACATGTGTCTCTTGCCAAGAACCCACACCTTTGCTACATAGCACTTTTTAAAAAAAATGTTTTTATTGATTTTAGAGAGAGAAAGGGGAAGGGTTAGAGAGATAGAAACACTGA